ACCAAATAAAGTTTTAAAAAACTATTACAACCTCTCCTATTTAAAGAGTCACATTTACTATCTTACACCTAATAAAATAATCATCTAAAGTGTTGAAAGGTATACTGTCAATTCTTAGCCACTTAATCCATATTTACACACATGCCTCAAATTCCAGTTTATGAATATCTACTTACAATGCAACAGGTATTTCTTTCCTACTCATCTTAATTAGCAAAATCAATGTTGGTTAGTCAGCAGAGTTACAAGAAAAATAATCTCCCTGGATGCTAAAAATTCACAACATATGTATTCAATAAATACAATATCCTTTCTAAAACAACTATGGAACCTGCAATATGGCTTGTACCTAGATTCATAGGAGGCAGCTCTCACTAAAATTTTAAAGTAGTGACCTACACTATAAGAACTGAGACACTTAGGAAAACATTTAAAGCTCACCCTTGATAAAGGTTCATAACAAATTTTATTTAAATAAATGACTAAACTATGTCAAAGCCTATTGTAAAAATAAAAATCCTAAGTTTTATAAAATTCAGGAAAGGACATGGGTTCACAACTTTACAATTTTAGATAAAATATAAAAGGTAATCAAAAGTACAACATTAATGATATAAAGACTTTTGGATCTGATTGCTGGCACACAAAATAATTTTTAGTATTCATTCCATTACTGATGTAAGGGTTATCTGATTTCATATTAATAATCATAATTAATTAAATACATCTTTTGTAAACCATATAGTCCTTGTCAATTTTTTATGAAGACTTTAGGAGGTTACAGAATATGCTATAACAATATATTATTTACTCACTAATTTTTAAGTAGTAAATTACAGAATGTCAAAACACTTTTTTAGCAAACTTCTCTTTAGTAATTTCAAAACAGGCAAAGCCATACGTTTCATTTCTTAACTAATATACAGATACAAATGTACATCCAAGTTACTAAATCACTAAATTATATACGTAAGAATATATGTAAGCATAAGTGACATAAACAAGGTAAGATAATACACACATACACAAATACGTAATTGTCTAGTTTTTTCCAATTCCTATTGCTGATACTGTACCTAAACACAAGAAAAGATTTGATCTTTTTTGCTTGTTTTTAAGTTTTGTTCACTTTCCAATTACATCTGTTTAGGATGCAGAAAGATTCATGCCAGCAATATGTATTAAGGCCCCAACCTGATACTATGAGTAACTTGATAAAGTATAAGCTAAGCTGAGACTATCCTCTTCAACTCCACATTTTCAATATAATCACAAACATTCGAAGTGACTTTATAGAACTTTCAAGTCCTAAAATGCATTCTACATCATGAAGGGACGATTCAACTAGGTTTCATACAATTACACAGCTGACTTCACCGAATCCTCATATTCTGAAAACTGATCATCTTTGAATTTATCTGAAGTAAATTTAACAAATATCTAAAAAGCACTCACTGAACTAGATACTTAATTATGTAAAATACAAATACAAGTCAATGGACTTAAAAACTCAATTATTCAAGACATCATGATAGAATTTAAGAATGACAAATATCAAGCTAGTTGGCATGTGCAATATACTAAATGCTAACATATGAATGTTTACTATATTGCATACACTCTGCTAAAAGTTGTATTTTATTATTTCATTTAATCCTCACAAGAACTCTATAGGCAAGGTGATACTATCCTTTTTATTTTTAAAGATGAGAAAATTTAAGTTTACTGAGGTTTAAGAACTTGCCAGTGACTCACACATCTAGTAAGTGGCAGTCTTTTTTCAAAGTCAAATTATTTAGTATCTAAACCATAAACTGCAGAGAGAGAACAAACTTGTACCATCTAGCACAATGTATGATCTAACAGCTTATTTTCTTAAAGTAGTTTTTTTCCCTTTTCTCAGTTCACATTCATATATCTTTATCTAATGGGTTAAGTATCCCTCTTCTGGACATAGTACCTCATGTAGGTCTCTATTATAAACTCCAAACTGTCCTATAATCATCTATTTCCTTTATGTCTACCACAATGCTATAAAATCCTTGAAACCAGGATTCTGCTTTATTCATGTCTTATGCCCCAAGTACCTATCAACTGCCAGGAATATAAAAAGTATTGAAAGTGCTGTTAAAGGTTCAATATCATATTAGATCTTTTCTATAATCTTCTAAACATCATCTTAAGATAAAACCTTACTGAAAATGGAAATAGTAAAATCCTAGATTCAAATAAGAACTAAGTAAGGGCAAATAGTCTAACTTCTCTTTCAGTAACACTATATCCCTGCTAATATTATCTACATCTCAAGAAAAATGTTGGGGAAAGAAGTTAGATAAGTCTGATCACCTATGAGTTGATCACAAAGGAATACGCAATTCCAGAATTAAAAAAATGAGGTTTATCAAGTCAGATGGTATTATAAATCTAGTCTCCTTAACCTTTATACCTAGGAATTTGTTAGGCTTAAATTAAAAAATCAAAACCTGGCAGTTTTTCAACTTGTAAAATTCTCATTTAAAAAGTTTAGCTCTTCAATAAGACAGCTAATGCGCAGCCCAAAACAGCCAATCTAATTTAATTTTTTTATCTTTCAGAATATTGAGTCTACCAGTTGCAACGGTGTGTTTTTTTTAGCAGTCAAATTAACATGATATGAAAATTACCTTGTACTAATAAATGGTATTGCAGAAGTTGAGCTATAGTTAAGACTATGCTAAATGTAAACCAAAAAAACACCAGATAAAAGAAAAAAATCTGTACATTATAAAAAAAAGTAAAGCATTCTATTAACAAATCATTAGACAGACATCTCTTTAAGAGCCTAAAAATCTTTTCAACTCTGAAACTGACTACTCAAACATTAGTACATGCCAAACCTATGAATGTTTGATCAACAAACAGGTTATAAGAAGAAAATTCTGTTCTCCTACTTACTAAGCATCCATACGTCACAACTGTGCCCTACTCAATGACTGAATTTCAAATAGAGAAAAGTTGACGGAAAAAATTCATCATAAGGGTTCACAAATTAGGGTGTTATAACACTATAAGCCAAAAAAGGAAACTCTTAAAATGAGCAGTGCACAGTAACACAAAATGAGTGTTTGCCTCTACAACTACAGAGTTGACTCTAAAAACTTCAATTTACACTTCCTTTAAATCACAAGTCCACTTGCCTATTCTGCTTGAATTTTTAGGATTCTAAAGCATAAAGTCCCTTCTATAGCACATTATTAAAAGATTGTTTTAAAACAGCTGTTCTTCTGTCATGAGAAAATCAATGTCTTCCTTCAAAAAGCAATCAACACTTCACTTACACAACTGTGAAATTACTGCACAAATTCTATTTCCTCGTAATAGCTGTATGTATTACCTAGCTAATAGTAATACATAAAAGTAGGGCTTTTGCCTAGCTAGATAAACCTTTACTGAAGGTACAAATAATATTCTCTTAGTCCTTAACACAATCTAAGTAAAGATAGTAAAACTGTTAGCACGTTTCTCCCACCCAACTGTTATCCACAGTCCTTCTTAATGGAAGAGAACAGTACACAAATTCAATCTAGAACCTTGCATCATTTTAAAGAGGTAAACGCACTGAGAATTGCGTGGTGGAACCAAACATCTGGAGAGTGGGGCTACAACATGTCATTAATCATCGTATACTTTGAAAATCAGAAACTTTCATTACAGAGCTTGAAACGTAGTAGTAAATTGCTGGTGGAAATTCTCAGCCTATAAGGGGCACTCAATCTCTTGAAAACTTTGCCTCCCTCATAACCAACCACCTTGACACACCTACTCCAAACAGGATTCTCTTCCTTCTAAATCACACTATCCAAAAAATTTGCACACATCTTTCCTTTTAATAAATACTGATAAAACTTCTGGTGTCATTTAAGGTCTCATTACACACTGAGACCCAACAGAAGCCTTATGTACCAGTAAAATGTCTTAGGTAAACCAATCTTTGAGCAAACGTCAATTTTGCTTCTCCACCTTCCTTACCAAGTAAGAGACTTCGAGTGTGTAACATCCTGCAGTGTTTCCGTATTACCAAAGGGCAGATAGAGCTAATCCCCCAAGACCGGTGGCCTTATTTTGCCAAATCATCGCCTTCCATTAATGATCACTTACGTCCATCTCGCTTACATGAAAGACATAGGATTCTTAATAAGTAGGCTTCTACGTTCTAATACCCAAGAACAGAACACACTAACTCCCAAATGTGACTTAAAAATTGTACCACAAACACGAAGGAAGAGACGGGGAAGAGGCATGAGGTTTGGAGTGATCAGAAGAGCCGGTGCACAGCCGATGCCATATTTAACACATAAGTTAAAGCCCCGAGGACTGCAAAAATAAACACTGACAGTGTGAGAGACGTTCCACAAACGTCGGGCTCCAGGCAAAGCCATCCAGAGGCAGTCAGGGCAGAACCGGGCCGGAGGACGGAAGAAAACTGACTGCAGGGGATGCTGCAGGGTGGGCTACCATGGTGCCTTCTCCAGGGTGGAAGGCGGAGAGGAGGACCCGAAGGCTTCATTCCGTCGGACTCTGGTCCCTAAAGGTATCTGGGTTCACAGCTCAAGTTTCACCGGGGAAAAAGGCGGCGGCAAACGTGCATCCAGGCACCTTAGCCCCAACCCAGAAGTCTGCAATCTCGGCTTCCGGCTCGAATTAGCGAGGGAGTAACGGTCCCCGGAGCACACGCCGAGGAGTCGGGGCAGAAGGCAGCACCGCCGCAGCCCGGCCAGCAGCGCGGCCGCGGAGGAGGGGAGCGGGGCCGGGGTTGCACTCGCGGGCCCCGGCTCTTCCCCGGCCTCGCCCCGGGCGCGGCGAAAAGTTTCCAGGCAAAGTCCGGGGCACCCGCTCGCGCAACCAACCGCCGAATGCAACCGCCTCGCCGCTCGGGAGAGTGGCCCGCGCCGGCCCGGCCGCGGCGCCGGGACCCTCGGTCGCGCCTCCCTCACCCACGCCGCCCCACCAGGTTCACCTACCACAGAGCCGGGAGAAGAGCAGCAGCGGGAAGAGCAGCAGCAGCAGCGGCGGTGGCGTCGGGGGCGGCAGCAGGAGCCCGGCCCCGGGGGGAGAAGCGGAGGAAAGTTGTGCTTTGCCGCCTCCGGGACACAGCGGAGCCGGCCCAGGGGTCCGCGCCATTCCCCACCCTCCCCCCGGCCCGCTGGCTCGCTCGCCCGCCCCCACCGGCTCCCCCGGACCCGGCGCCTCTGGCTCTGGGCGGCGGCGGCAGCGTCTGCGGCACGGCGGCGGCGGAAGGTCCGGCGCGCGCGTTCCTAACTCCTAGTTCTTGAGCCTCCGCCGCCGGCTGCCACTGCGCCGAGCGCTCGCGGCTGCCTCGACACCGCCGTCGCCGACGCCACTGCCGAGGCTGAGGCGGGGAGCCGCCCGCCGCTGCCGCCGCCGCCACTCCCCTCCCCCCTGCACCCGCCCGCTTCGAACTCCTGGGAACTCGGAACGCACCACCCCGCCCCGCGCGGGAGGGGGAGAGGAAGCCGACCCTCAGAGCGGGCGCTGGAACTCGCCCGCCCACCCCACGCAACTCCTGCTCCCGTCTGATCCCGGACTGCCTGCCGCGTCTCCTCCCACCCTACTCCCCTACACACGCTCCACCCCTTTCAAAAAAAAAAAAAATCTCTTCTCTCCACTTTGATAATGGGGTTTGTCCCAAAGCAGGGCTTTAAAAAGGACAGGAAAATCTGGAATAGGTTAGTAGGCCCCGCCCCTCGTTTCAGCCTTGTACCCCCCCTTCCCAGCATTTCCAATGGTCTCGCCCACTCCGCCCCTAGCGGGTCCACTGCTGCCCCGACTGAGACGGAGGCGGAGGGCGGCGGCGGGACTTTCGGGCTCGCGGCTGGCCTCGCACAGGCGGCGCGCTCTCTGGCAGGGACCCGGACGGGGAGGGGTAGGGAGGGGAGGCAGGACGGGGTTGCCCTTCCGTTGCCCATGCTCAAGGTTCCTGTCTAGAAAGCTGGACGCAGCCTGCTGGACTAGTCATCTTTCTCCTCGCGGGGGGCTGAAAGGAGAGACCTTGTCCGTCCTTCCTGCTTCCCGGGACAGCTCTCTCCGAATGCCTCCCTTCTTCCCAGCTCCACTCCCTCCCAGCCCGCCGAGGCACGTTTGCACGGGCATTTTTCTTGCTCCTTTCACCGGGAGGCGGCTCCCGGCCAGCGTGGAAGGGCCAGCGTGGTCGGGCGAGAAGAGGGGCCCCAGAAGGTTTGCTTTCCCGCGCTTGTTTCTCCTGGCTGCCGGGCTGTCCGCTCTCCTTGCCTGGCGACTGGCAACAGGAGGCCATGGATTTCCCCCATCGGAGCGCCTCGAGTTCGGTGGTGTTTTTCTTGGGTTTTGTTTCATTTGCATGTTCGCACGTGTAATTTTGTTTTCATTGCTTGCATTCGTTTTAACTTATTGCGGGAAAGTGACCTCGGGAAGTGTTAAACCTTTGCCCTTAAGAGCGTCTGTGGTCCACCACGACCCTCCCTCACCCCACATGGGTGGCTCGCCCTGCCCTCTGCTTCCGCCAGCCACGCACAGCTCGGTGGCCTGACCTCGGGACCACAGCCACCGGCGGTTCTGCGGGGGTGGCGGACAGTTTGAACTGTCCTGAAAGTGACTGGAGGCAGAGGACACACGTCCTCAGTCCTGACACCATTAATTTCACGTAGATCTTGCCGTCTCCACCAGTAGTCACACATACGCTCCAGTAAGTCGAGCTAGGATTTAGCCGCCTGTCTCAACTAATCTAGTGCTTGCCTGGCGCCCAGATCACGCTGTCGTTCCCCTTGGATCACTAGGGTCTCCCATTCTCCACCTACTGACAATGTTTTACTCACCTCCAAGGCTACACATCATTCTACCCTTCTGCCCACCTCTTTAACTTCCGCCTCCCATCCTAGTTCTGAGTTTAGAACCTCTGTTTCTCCACCTCCTTTTCTCACTCCCGCTCTATGCCTGCCTGCCTCTGCCCATCCCTGTAAGCCTGTCTCCAGCAGCCCTCCTTTTCATCACCTATCCTCAGGATGCACTTGTGATTAAACCTTGTCCTGCATTCGCTCTGGGAGATCCCATGGTGATGATCATAACTGACGAAGGGTAGCTATTGTGACATTCCTAAGCTCTGCTTACACCGCAGTTTCCCTTGGGAATATTTATTTTTCTATTTTCGCATTCCCTAAGCCAAATTTCACTGCTAAATTTAGAGTCCACTGCGCAGCGACTGGCTAATTATCTGGTTAGATAGCACTTTAACACGTTGTTGATACTCAGTTAAATGTTAAATAACCAAAATTTTAATATCGCTAGTCCCAGCCTTTCCCTGATGGTTCCGGTCTCCAGAAAAAGTAATGTAGCCAACATTTGAAAAGGTGCCAAAAGCTTAATATGGGGCCACTGTGCAATTGCTACAGAGACCGTGAGGGATTAGCTGGTTTAGTGCTCAAAAGGATGATATGGAGCCTTAAAATATATATATATATATATATATATATATATATATATCTTCCATATTTTGAGAAATTTGATTAGTGGCATGCTATGATTTTATTCTCCTCTGACCTAAAGTGGAGAGAGAGCTTGGAAGAGTAGTATTTATAGATATTATATAAGCATTAAAAGAGCACCATGCTGGTGTTTTATGTGCATACAAGCATTATGTTATAATAATAATAATTTGTGTTGATATAGCATCTTCAGCCTGAGATGTCAAAGTACACTCTACTTCTCACAGAAGGTAGCAATTACTATTATTCCTAGTTGCCAGCTGGAGAAACCTAGGCACAGAGGTTAAGTGCAAATACTACAAGCTATGCATGGTGGTTTTCCTACCAGAACCAAGTTCTTGCTTTCCTTAACTTCCTTCTTAAGTTAAAAACAAATTTACTGAAATAACTCGAATTTCTGCTTTCTAAGTGTTCAGTCTTAAATTACATTCTCCTCAAATAAAGATATACCCACCCTAAGCTTTCCTATTGGAAATTATTATTAGCTACAGAAAAAGATTATACATTATGTAGTACAGCTCTTTTTTTTTTTCAAGGAGCAGACTTAATGTTGATTTTTTAATAGCCTTTAACATGAGAGCATTACTTGGTTTTATATCATTTTTAATTGTCTAACAATAGGTAAGTTCACCTTTATTGTTTGAGGGACAAACTAGTTGAAGGAATGCATAATTACAACTGATGTTAATATTTGTGGTACCATGGAATCTAAAGTATACATGTGTTTTATAAGAATAAAAGTATCTGAATAAAAAGCAACAAGATCCTGCTCTGGCTGGTTTGGCTCAATGGTTAGAACATAGGCCCACAGACCAACAGGGTCTCAGGTTCAATTCCTGTCAAGGGCATGTACCATCTCTAGCCCTGGTAGGGATCATGCAGGAGGCAACCAATCCATGTGTCTCTCTCATGTCGAAGGTTTTCTTCCTCCTCTCTTTTTCTCTCTCTCTCTCCCCCTCCCTTCCACTCTAAGGGTCAGTGGAAAAGTATCCTCGGTGAGGATTAACAACAACAACAAAGCAACATGAGCCTAATGCCAAAAATGATTTCATTGTTTTGGGTTAAGAATACTGATGATAACCATCCCACTGTCTGCTTCAAAAGACTGTTGGTCAATTATTTTCATTAACTCTTAACTAAAAAACAAAGGTTGACATGTTAACAAAGAAGTAATTATGTACAGTGCTGGGCATTTTACATCTACTCAAATAATCCAAATTAAAGGTTTGATACTATTATTAGAATTTCATAGCTGACTCTAAAACAAAGGAAGTATTTTATAGTAGAGGTAGGCCATTATGTACTCTAGGTAGTTCTACTTGCCATCAGCAAAATTTTTATAACCTGCTAAGTGAAGAAGTATAGCTCTTCCCTCAGTGGAAGAGATGAGCAATGCTTTGTGGAATGTTTGAACTTCATACTATATTTGATAAGTTGATTTTTCCCAGCTATAATCACAGTCTTCTAAAGCAGAACTATGCAAATAGTTAAACAAACTGAAAACCTATACATGCAAAAAGTCTATCCATTTGCAAATTTTCACCAACCTCACTTTTATCAACTATTTCCTACTGAAAAGATCTCCCACCCCCATAGATTTATATTGTTTTCTTCCTTATATTTCCTTAGGGTCTTTGCTCAAATGTCACTGTATCATTGAGATCTTCTATGACTCCATGTGAAAGAGCTACCCCCATCTCAAACCCTGTCCCCTCTTAACTTGCTCTGTTTTCTTCACTGCACTCACTATCTGATATGGTAGATCTTTATTTACTGTATGTTTTTCCTTTGCTAAAATGAAAATTCCACAAGGATGGGTGGGAGCTGCCTTTTTTGTCACTATTGAAACCCAACCATCTAGAAAAATATCTACAATATAGGTTCCATATTGGAGGATTAAGTGATAGGTATAGTGTCGTCGCATAGTCAGATGCATGTCTAATGGCAGATAAACAACAGAAGAATATTAATTTTTTAAGGTCTTGAGTATATGATTATGTTGAGTTTTTTAAGCTGGAAGATGATTATGCTGACCATTGTTTAAGACTTTTTAATCCTCACTTGAGGATATGTTTTTATTGATTTTTAAAGAAAGAAAGAGAGAAACACACAATGCAATATACCGACGATGTATTATAGAATTGTACACTTAAAACCTATATAATTTTAGTAATCAATGTTACCTCAATAAATTTATTTAAAAAAAATAAACAGAGCGTTCACAAACATAAATAAATAAATAAAAGGGTAGATTAAATTCAGGGAAGATGATTGAGCTACTATGTGGTGGAGTCTATGTTAGGTGTTAGGGATGAAAAAATCTGTTCTTATTCCCCTAACCATAATAGTTTTGCAAATAATGGAGGGTTGTACAGTATAGGAGAGAGCAAAGGGGGAGCCCCATGTATACTTTAAAAAGATTGGGAAGGGCCCTGGCCGATTTGGCTCAGCGGTTAGAGCGTTGGCCCACAGACCAAAGAGTTGTGGGTTCAATTCCGGTCAAGGGCAGGTACCTTGGTTGCAGTTTGGTCCTGGCCCTAGTCCGGGTTCTACAGGAGGCAACCAATGGATCACGTCAATGTTCCTCTCTGTTTCTCTGTCTCTCTCTCTCTCTCTCTCCCTCCCTCCCTCCCTCCCACTCTGTCTGAAGATAAATGGACAAATATCCTTGTGTGAGGATCAAAAAAAAAAAAAAAAGTACTGGGTAGGCCTAACAGGAAAGATAACATTTGAATAGTCTTAAAGAATGTGTAGGAGTTTTTCATACAGGTGAGGTAAAAGCAGTGGAGGGAATAGGAGAATGATAGATGG